TGTACCACCAACAGTAAAATTATGAAAATAAAAATGCTTTTCGGGAACCCCTTCCCTTAAAATGCTGTATATTCCTGTAAACTATATTATAAGCACACTGCTGGAAAGGAGATCAAGCACACAAGGATATCTTCACTGTACCAGTAGAAAACCTTAAAAATGGGTGGGTCAAGGAAGCAGAAAATGAAGTATAAGTGATTTGGGGGCACCATAAAACAAGGGATGCAGACATATGTAGAGCAAAAAAAAATATGAGGGGGGGAAATCCAGGACTGTGTGTGTAATATATACAGATTTTTTCCAAATGTAAATTTTAAACTGAATGCTGCTATTATGTCACTGCATAAAGGAAAGCATAATGAGGCTGCTCTACTTCCCTTTAAACACAAGGCATAAAGAGAGTAAGGGATGTGAAAAGCCAATCCTTTGTGCTGCTGCTTAATCAATTGCACTCAGTTCTACTCAATGACTTAGCCACACTGCAAATACCACTCAGCAGTTAATGGATATGATGCTGGAAAAGCACTCTGAGGTCTTCCAAAGCAAGGTAGGGTAAAAACCCAAAGGAGCATGGTTTTATGACTTATTCACAGTAACAGAGCAGCAGTATATATGAAACTCCCATGTTCTGAAAAGGAATTAAGATATTCATCTATTTTGCAAATTCTGATTCTTCCATATGAAAGCATTTCTTTCAAAAAGATTGAACCTTGAAATCATAGTAGAGTGATCCCATGCCCTAGTCTGGTCTTGTCAGGATAACCATTACACACTGTAAAGAATAAATATGTTCTTCAAGTGTTACAGCCTACGCTTACAATCTGTCAAAATGTAGAGCTGAAGAGGAGTTATGTGTTTTTAACTGTATAAAGACATCAGTAGCTATCACTCTTCCCACAGACAGGGAAAAGTCAACAATGAAACCTAAAAGCTAAAAATTAGTGACTGAGCAATTGCTCAGAAGAGCTGCACATGGGGCACAGGGTTAAATGTACGCACATTCCTCCCCGCCCCCCCCCATTTTTTTTTTATTACTGCTAATTTAAAGTAATTGAAATTAAGGGCTCAGATCTAAGAATAAAGAAAATAAGCATGCACTGCATAAATATGTAAAAGTCAGTAGCTATCACTCTTCCCACAGACAGGGAAAAGTCAACAATGAAACCTAAAAGCTAAAAATTAGTGACTGAGCAATTGCTCAGAAGAGCTGCACATGGGGCACAGGGTTAAATGTACGCACATTCCTCCCCGCCCCCCCCCCCATTTTTTTTTTATTACTGCTAATTTAAAGTAATTGAAATTAAGAGCTCAGATCTAAGAATAAAGAAAATAAGCATGCACTGCATAAATATGTAAAAGTTAGTCATAAGTAAAATTCCATGCTCATAACCATACTGTATCAGTGTTCTGAATGGCACGTGCCCAGAAGGCAAGTAGTGACTAATAGGTGTTGCTGCAAATGCCATGAAAAATGACAGTTATAGGCACTTCAAATGCTCAGAGAAAAATTTAGTGTCATTCTGTATACACTGAAAATATTTCTTCATTCACAGATGTTATGTTCACTTCTAAGGATCAATCAAATCAATATGTATTAAAGACCCATTGTGTGCAATTTACTATACTGTACTAGTGGAAAATACTACATAAAATATAGAGCATGGTTCACGTGTAGGAGTACATTAAAAACATGGGTATGAGTATATATAATTGAATATAGAAAAAGTATAATCCAAAAGAACACCAAATTCAGAAAAATCAATAAATCCATGACTTAAATAGGTTTTTTGGTTTTCTTCTCATTCTGTGAGAATTTATTAGGTGAGAAATAGAGCATAAAAACTTTGAAAATTACAAGTTTGAAATCTTGCATACTGAAAAGGAGACAAGACGTCTTACAATAGCTTTTGAACTCTTTTCTAGCTTCGAAATGATTCATCTAACCAAATCTCAGAAATCACAGTAGATAAGTGAGATAAAAGAATTAATACAAATTTGTTTTATAAGTGCAAGTTTATAACATTTACTTGTTACGTAAATAGTTTTTTTTTTTTTTAGATAAAGAGAAAAATGTGAAATAATAGATAAAGGATTAGAGTTACATTCTATGAGTCTCAACATCTGATTCATTTCTGTATTTTGGAGTTTATTGCACCATATTAAGAAAATTCTGATTCATACACCTAAGTAGTTGCAAACAGTGACATTTATCATCTCCCTTGCAATCCCAGGTTACTCTTCAAGAAATAGAGATAGCAAGAGAAGCTTTATCCCATAGTCTGAACCAAAACTCAATTTACTAGCAAAAATTAACTCATCATCACCAGTCTTAACTATTTCCATACAGTATACTTGACTGTGCATGTGGATTTTTTTAATTACAATATTTAAATCCAAATCAAGCCTTGGAGAAACCCAAAGCACTCACTCAGAATCCCCTAGGGGTTAGTAGAATCTCTATTTGAAAGCCTGAAAGGGTTTCCAGGATGCACTGACTTGGTGTCAGTAGACAGCCACAAAGGTGACCAAGGCGGACATATCATGCAAACACCAGTTGGCAAACCTAGGATTCCAGCAAAGTGTGCCATCTGCAGATCTGCTGGCCTTTGGTTTCCTTCATTTCCTCCCAATGATCTTGTTCCTCCTCTCCACTGCTGTTTTGGCCCAGAGCAATCCAGCCAATCATCTCTTTACGCTTCATAGTACGCCTGTTATAAATGGAAATCATCAACGTGACATCAGAGAGCTGAAAGAGGGCCACCTGGAAAACAAAAGTCTCCTTATAGACAGGATTGGGCTGACCACGTCGAATGGACGTCTTGCAGCGGGACATCTCTTGGCCCACAGAATTGAGGAGAAAGAGTTTTCCGTATGTATCTGAGACAAAAAAAAAAAAAAAAAAAAAAGGGGGGG